AGATTATCTGTTTTCCTATTTTGAAAAAATATCGGTTGCCTTGGCAACAAATAGGCTTAAAACATGGCAAATATAAACAATATTTGTGATTAGTCAAAAAGAGTTAAATTTTTTTATGAAATTGCATCTTAATTCAAGAGTTATTCCTCTTTAAGAATTTTGCTTTTAAAATGTTATATTTTGGTAACAGGGATGTTTCAAATATTAACTTTAGAGTGTCCTGCAGTCCGTCTGTCTGTCTGTTCATAAAAACTGTTTCCTGTGATCACTTTTAATGAACTTTTCCAACAAATTTACTTAAAATAGAGAAAAATTGAAACATTAGTGAATGGCCAATGGCCCTTCAGAATGTTGATGGGATTCTAACCGGTAGGGGACTTATGGATTGCTTGCAATACTATGATAATTGCTTGTTTTCATAGTGCTAATGTTTATATTGATGAGGGACTGTTTTAAATTGAAACTTGGACAAGTTCACAAAGGATATTATGTGGGTTAGGGGTACATTTTAATATGTAGCTTATGAATGAGGAAAACTTATTTTTTATATTTGACCTTATTTCATTAAGAAAATACTCTTCTTTGTTTCATTTTGTGCCATAGGATGCAAAATAATAAATAATGATAAATTGTTATAGTTATATACATGTTACATACAGTGAGCGATATGAAAAATATTTTACTTCAAGTATTTTAATGACAAACATAGCATGAATGAATATATTTTAGTGTATCAAGCCAAAAGGAATGAATATATTTTAATGCATATGCAAGTATTGTTTAGATTACATGCAGCTGTTAATAAATTAAATTTTTCCAAATTTTTTATGATTTCTAAACGTTTTGAAAAAGCAGATAGTTACTGAGGACTTTCTCATACAACTTCAATAATTGACTGAAGACCGAGATATTTGTTGTTTTGAAAACATTCATGTTCTTTAAGGATTGCGAATGATAAGGCCACTGAGGATTAAATAGATTTCTCTGCTTTTTTTCTCGGAGTAAGGTCTTATTTGTTTAATTTCATCAATTTGAAAGCATCTTTGTGGTGCATCCAGTAGTGTTACCAGTTTATTTATTGATGATTAATAATATTCCTTATTTTCTGATAACTTACTGCTGACTTTTTAATATTATGTATGAAGACTTAAACTTTTTTTTTGTTTTTGTTGAATGGAATTGAGTTATATACATGTAGCTGGTTTTTCTGTCTTCATATTTACTGCATTATTTTTGCCTTCTGCTTGAGCTTATTTTGTTTAATGGACACCTTTAACCCTTACTCTGCTAAGACAGGAAGTGATAGACTTTTTACCACTCTACAAAAATGGCTGACTAAACTATTGTCATGATATCCCCAAATTTGATAATGAACTGTCCCAAATATGGAAGATTGGCAAGTCCATTTAAGAAATTCAGTAGGTTAAGGGATAAAGGTGAAACAACATTTACATGGATTGACTTGGGGGGGATTACAAGATGGAAATAAAATGAGAAAAAGTCAGTTTTATTGTTATGTATTGTCCTTGCAAATATTTTAAGTTTCTTTTATAACAAAGGTCAGGAAGCTTTAAACTGTCGTATATTTTCATTCATGTTGTCCATTATTTATGTTTTTAGAAATGCATGAATGACTTGTATGTGACTTCTGAATTAAGTATACATGTAATAATATTCTGAACAAAGAAATACATGTCAAGGTCACAATCAATATTTTATTTATTTATGTTTTTATATAATATATTAGCATCATGTTATGCAATTGATGAAAAAACGTACAAAAGACAAAGAAGCACTAGGGTGACTTCCTATATTAGATAAGCTGGAGAGTTGCGTTGTGATCTTGATATAAATGATGTGTTCCTAAGCAGTGAATGAAAATTGAATATAAGATTTTATCTATAGTATGTGGTACTTTAAAACCATACCAAGCTACTTGTCCATCTTGCAATTTTGACAAAACTATCACCTTTAGGGGAAAAATTCAAAAATTCTGACTGAATAATGAACAGTATATAGTATACCATGATATGAGTCCACAAATGTGTTGGCTGATCTTAGTCTGCACTGGTCACATGGGTACAACCTTTGCCCCCCCCCCCCCCCCCCGCTGGATACTCAAGATTACATTACCAGAAAAGATAAACATTGAACACAGTAAAGACAGGTCCTAGACACTTAATTCTCTGTTTGATGTAATGTTTTTCTTAATGTCTTTATTTTGAATAATAACCGTAGATGAAATTTAAGTACAATGAAATGTTATATGTGTTTAAGATATGTTTAATACATGTTTATCAGTGTTTATCAGATGCCTACAATAAAGATAATGACTCTAATAAAAAATTATTTTTATATATTGTTTATTGATTTGACTGCTGTTATGTGTAAACGGTAAGGTATTCATGTGTTTTACTTAGAAAAATATTCACAATTGAAAATTAACAAACATATGCTAACAGTTAATTAAACTTTATATTAATATCTATATTTAAATTCTAAAAAATACATTTTAACATTACAAGGAACATAAACCTGAAAATGAAGAGGAAATAACTCCGTTATATATCTGGCTCACCAGAAGAATACCAATTTTATATTACAAACAATATTACCCCAAAATAAGTGTCTATATACATGTATTCTTTATGTATAATAAAGAAAATTGCCACTTTTATTTTTTTTAATGTCAAACAAGAAATGTCCATCTGAATGTCAATAAAAGATGTTCCTCTCTATATGTCAAACAAACAATCCTCTTTTTCTGTGTCCAACACACATAAATGTCAACTAAGTCATTCCTTTTTCTATGTCAAACAAGCAATGCTCCTCCGTGTCAAAAACAGTGTTCCCACTATGTCAAACAAGAAACACTCCTTTATTTTAAGAACAAGCAATCTTCTTATTCAGGTCAAAAAGCAATGCTTCACTCAATGTCAAACAATTATTGGTCCGCTTCATGCCAAACAAGCAATGCTCCACTTCATGACAAGCAAGCAATGTTCCATTTTATGTCAAATAATAAGTGTTTCACTTCTTGTGAAACAATCATTGCTCCTCTTCATGTCAAATAAGCAATGTACCACATCATGTCCAACAAGCAGTGCTCCACTTCATGTCAAAATAAGCAAAGCCTCTCTCCATATCAAGCAAGCAGTTCGCTTAGAACGTTTCATAAATTGCTTTGCTGAGTGAAAAACACATTTACATTTAATAACATACACTGTATATTTCGTCAATTTAAAGTTTTCATTCAAATTGCCACATAGTTATCAAGGGTATATAAACTTTTCATCTAAAACATCACAAAAACAGACAACAAACATTCAAAACAAAACGATTAAAACTTCACATTTTCTTAATTCGGTTGTCAGGTCGTTGCTTAGGAAAGTCAATTTTCTGCATGCTAATTACACCATTTACCGGAAATTAATGACGCTTTACAATGAATGCACGCGCAGATCAACATTACGCAATATATTCAAAATTCGCTCTTTAATAACGCTACGCTTCAGAAGATCTAAAATAAAAGTCAGATTGAGAAGTACAAATTTACATAACAGGTACATTTTAGTTTAATAAAAATACGTGTATATTACACTATCCTGTCGGAAGTTAACAATTCACTTCCGGCTTTGTTATAACTTGTACACATTAAATAAGTTATTTAATAAGTTATATTCAAAGCGCACAACTCTGCTGTACAACAACTGGCCATCGATACCGCGACATATATTTTAACACCAGTTATATATATAAAAAAACAACAAATATCCACGGAAACGCATACTATAAAAAAGTGTATAAATTATTGCCAAAAGCGTCTTTCATATTATTCGGAATATAGTTGTCAAGAATCGTGTAGAGAACTTTCATAGCTATCATAATGCTCCAAGGCTGTCGTCATGATATTCTGAAATGAAAAAAAAACAGGGTTTAGTTAAACAAGATTAATCTTCTGTAAAATGATAAAATATTTTGAATATGCTTAACCAAAAAAGCTCCACTAGAATATTTTCTTGAACGAGGGCTACTGTACAGATATTTGTACCGTTTTGTAATGAGAGAAAGATTATGAACAGCTTGGGGATTTTCTGTATGAACATCAAACATGTATGGCAATTTTATTATCGTCTTATTTGTTACTTTCAAAATAAATAATTACTTGTCCTGTAACAAAAACTGAAAAAGACATCAATACAAATGGTCAAATGATGTTTTCTTGTTTAGCTCTGTAACCCGTAATTTCTTAAATGGACTTGTCCAGCTTCCATTTTTAGAAATGTCCATTACCAATTTTTAGGGATATCAAGAATAAAATTTGAATGTGGCCAATCATTAGACTATAGACAATTATCATAATCGGACTGCACGGGTGTGCATGTTGGCCGTTGGTGTTTTTGTTTAATATCAAGTGGATACCTTTTCAAAATGCGCAATCAAGACTTAGAAAGAACAAAATTTTGAAGAGTCATGGTACTAAAATGCACACAAGTTGGCCACGAGAAAAAAAACCCAATGCATATTAGAACGCTATCTGGTTAAATGATATTTTACCGAGTACGTATTGTCTCGTTATATGAACACGTGTGCCAGAAGTCCTTTTTTACTTTAATTTACTTAAAAACAGATTTAATACAAGCTCTACAGTACAGAGCAACTCCTTCAGAAAACAAAGATCTTGGCTGTTGCTTAGAAGGGTTGCTCTACAGAGGTTAAATTTAATTATTGTGAAGTCTTTTTTGCGTTGGAAGAACTGATACAGAACTGTTCAGTTTTGTTGTATACAGTAGAGGTAATGATTTACAGAAGGTCGTTATACAGAGGTCTGCCTGCACTGTCCAAAATGATTTTCCATCGGAGACATACAAAAGTAACATTGCATCTGGAATTCATTGCGTAAATAATACTCCTCCCCCCCCCATCCCCGGAAATACAACATACAGTTGGCTTATCAAAATGCTTCTTATGTTCGTTATGGCAAATCAAGATAGAGTAAAAGAGAAACTTACTTCTAGATTTTCTTTTAGCTTGCAGGCTAGGATATACTCTGTTATCAGTTATTTGTGACGTTTCTGGTTCCGGAAAATCTGCAGGGTCATGGAACCGAAATCTATTTTCAAAATCTGAAAGAATATCATTTTCCAGATGAATATAACTTGTGTACTATATACAATAGGTACAAGTCATTCAATTGCGGGTAATTCTACTATTATTCTGACGTTTTTTTGTTTTTTGTTCCAATGCAATATGAGCCACCTTTACACTCTAAACAAGTGTTGTTAATAAATGTAAATTATATCCAAAAAAATTGTTTACTAGTATGAGTTTACTTTTTTATGATTATCTAAAGGCATGTTTGAAGTGCAAATGTTACCCCTGCACGCTTTAGAAATACAAACGTGTTATCCCTAAACTTAACAAGAACAAATGATTGTCTGTATCCACCTAGTTGTTTTTCGTGGAATAGGGTTCATATGGTTCAAATAATGTTATAAAATTTCAAAAATTGTCATAGATCATTAGAAGTTTTATTAAGATTAACTTTGGTTTATTTTCAGCATACATTTGTATATTCATGTATACGCAAAGCTCGTCAAAACATTATAGTTATTGTTTCTATATGAACGGTATTCCGAGGGTCCCGGGTTCGAGTCCCGGTCACACTGCACTTTTTCTCACCCTGTGACCAAGAATATGGTCAATATTATCGAAAAGCCATCGGAAAGTTTTTGGAACCAAAATCAATTAGTTTTGACACATAATATTAATGAACAAGCCATACGCTCTGATATTTATTCATGAAAATGTGATATAATAATATATAAAATAAAATATATATAACAACTTGCCTTCAAACGAATGTGCTGACCGTAGCTGACCTTTAGGAGGTCTGCTAGGGACCGGTGCGTGCCCAGAATCTGCAAAATATATAATAAGTAATATATATAAGACATTAAAATTTTGTTGAAGTTTCCGTTAATGTCAACGACTAGTATAAATTAAACTTTATGCACGCCTGTATTTGATTAAATCCGAACGATTGAACTTAAATTTAACCGAGACATGTATTTTCATCCTCGTAACTTGTTGACATTGTATGCGGAACGCCTAGACAACAGTTTATTGCAAGTCAATTAAAGCAATTGAAATTGGTATTGTTTTAAGATATTGAGGTTGAAAATATCAGGAGCACTTTTGATAACTAACAAGAGATAATTTAAACAGAATAAATGTAATTAAGTGTAAAAATTATCCGCGAATTATATGCATTTGACCTGCATTTTACATATTTAATCAAAGAGTACAAAAAAAAAAGAATTACACGAACCTATCGATGAGTTGGAGCTAACGGATGTTTTTGGGGGTCTGGCTGGTGGTAGCTCTGGTGGGACGTCTGGAAAGAAAAATGAGACAATTTACGACTTCAGTATACATTTCACTACCTGAATTTCTACATAAAAACATTTTATTTGATGATATATAATTTGTTTTAGCCTTAAATGTAAAAAAATACATATCATTGTTGAACTATTTTCATTTTATTGACATTGTATATAAATACTGCTGTACAGGGGAACAGTTTCTGATATAAGAACTGATGTTTCAATTATACATAGCTATAAGAAAAGAAAGTATAAGGTCAATTCCGTCGTTAATTATAAAGGAGGAAATCGATGATTTTACTGGTGAGTTGGATACTGTATAGTTCTTGCTGCTTGTTTGTCAAATACCGCCCCTGTCATTCCGTGCTATGTAATGCAATGAAGTGCCGATTGTTTGACTTATCTCTGTAAACCCTCAAGAAAGTTCTCTTAACCAGACAAAATCAGATTTATGGCTTTTAAAGACAGGTGGTCAGATTTTATAGAGGCTATTCTTACTGTCGAGGTAAAAAAAATAGCGTGAGTTAATATAATACAGTACGCGTAATAATCACACGTGTCATAATAATACAACTCGTGCGATAATCACGTGACACTGGTTAATAGTGATGAGTTATGTACCTTGTGTAGACCGCTGCCTTGGCAATGTGTGTGCGGAACGCTGGCCTGTTGCATCTATATAAAGAAACAAAAAAAAAACAACATACAAAAATAAAATATAAGATCAAATACAACTGAAATTTTACCAGAACCTATTCCTTTATGTGGTCAATGAAAATTCCATATTTAAGTTCATGTTGTATTTTTACTCTAAACCCATTCCATTGTGTTGTCAATGGAAGTTTCCGTCTTAATTATCCCCCGCCGATGGAATCGGGAGGGGGATATAGTTTTGGCGTTGTCCGTCCGTCCGTCCTTCCGTCCATCCGTCCGTCCGAATTTCGTTTCCGGAGTAGTTCTCTGCAACTACTGGCTGGAATTCAACGAAACTTTATGGGAATCATCAATATCAAGAGGAGATGCGCATATCGTCGGCTTGTTCCGGTCCGACACTTTAACTCAGAGTTATGGCCCTTGATTAGTTATGCAGTATGCATATAGAGTAAAAATCGTTTCCGCGCTACTTCTCTGCAACTACTGGCTGGAATTCAACGAAACTTTATGGGAACCTTCAATACCAAGGGGAGATGCGCATATCGTCGCCTTGTTCCGGTCAGACACTTTAACTCAGAGTTATGGCCCTTGATTAGTTATGCAGTATGCATATAGAGTAAAAATCGTTTCCGCGCTACTTCTCTGCAACTACTGGCTGGAATTCAACGAAACTTTATGGGAACCTTCAATACCAAGAGGAGATGCGCATATCGTCGCCTTGTTCCGGTCAGACACTTTAACTCAGAGTTATGGCCCTTGATTAGTTATGCAGTATGCATATAGAGTAAAAATCGTTTCCGCGCTACTTCTCTGCAACTACTGGCTGGAATTCAACGAAACTTTATGGGAACCTTTAATACCAAGAGGAGATGCGCATATCCTCGCCTTGTTAGGGTCAGACACTTTAACTCAGAGTTATGGCCCTTGATTAATTATGCAGTATGCATATAGAGCAAAAATCATTTCCTCCATACTACTCTGCAACTACTGGCTGGAATTCAACAAAACTTTATGGAAACCTTCAATACCAAGAGGAGATGCGCATATCATTACCTTGTTTGGGTCAGACACTTTAACTCAGAGTTATGGCTCTTGATTAGTTATGCAGTATGCATATAGAAAAATATTTGTTTCTGCGCTACTTCTCTGCAACTACTGGCTGGAATTCAATGAAACGTTCTTGGAACCTTCAATACCAAGAGGAGATGCGCATATCGTCGCATTGTTCGGGTCAGACATTTTAACTTTGAGTTATGGCCCTTGATAACTTATGCAGTATACAACCAGAGCAATAATCGTTTTCGTGCTACTTCTCTGTAACTACTGGCTGGAATTCAATGAAACTTTATGGGTTACGAAGAGGAGATGTGCATAATTAGTCGCCTTGTTCCGGTCAGACACATATAACTCAGATTTATGGCCCTTGATTAGTTATGCAGTATGCATACATCTCATTGGCATTTCCAGATATTACTATTTAACACAGAGTTATGGCTCTGTTATTGCCCTGAATATTTATCAAGTTCAAAGAATATTACTGTTTATGCCATGATAAATATATAAATAAAGCCTTATGTCTTCAGTTGTTGTGTTAGTAATAACCAGTACTCGGCGGGGGATATAAATTCAACGAATTTGCTTGTTTAGTTTGTCTCACATTCACGAAGAAAACTTGTTAGAACTAGCGTAATAAAAAGGGGGAAAAGAGAAAAGGCCGATCGTCGTGTGTATTTACCATCAATCACTTTTTTTTTTATAATAATTCGCCTTTGTAACCAGAATAGAGTCGGGCAATAGGCCTGGCTGCAAAGATCATGCTCTTTACTGTTGGTAGCGTATTTTTGTATTCTCTGTAACTCTTGGTAAATCCATCATATATATATATCAAGTTTATAAATAAATTACATTCAATACAAAGTCTCTTGACCCGTTATACATGTAGTTTCAACTTGCAGTTTTTATTTTAAAAGTCTTAAATTCACAGAAAGTTAAATGATATTTTGGATTGATTTTTTTAAAATTATAATTTCATTATAATGCATGTCATATTCAATACATATACTGTAGTATCCTGCTGAATAAGCATGGGACATGTCATTCTTTTGAATTTGAATTTGATTTAAGCATATTTGTATTGCCAAACATTAAATATGCATAGTGTCAGTTACATTGCAGTGGTCGATAATAATGAAGTTTGTACGAATATTTTGAGGGCTTACTTGTCTCTCGTTGACTTAGCTGCTTTCTGACTGGTAAACGTTCAACTGGTGGTGGTGGTGGACTGGTCTCTGTGGAAATATATGTGAAATATTTTTATATGTTATCAATTTGTAGTCTATATCTTCTTTAAAAGGTATAACTATATAAGGCATGGTCGTTAGAATATTTGTTTGTATAAACTTGATGAAAAATCATATCAAAGTACATATAAATTGAAAGAATGATGTTAGCCAACCTAAATGGCTCTCTCCCCCAGCCCCTTTTAAACTGTTATGCATATTTCCTATGAAGCGGATGGCATATGCACGAACAAAACGCTATGTACAAATTTCTTGTACTGTCAGGGGTTCTCGTATTATCGAGACATGCTTTAATAAAACTGGCGGAATCGGGCGCTTGGTGGTTCGAAAACGTATCATCGTTGTAGCGCTGGCAAGAAAAGCAAATAATAATCATAAAAACAATATATAGTAACTTTAGTAAATCCGGAAAAAAGTATAAATATCTACTTTAATTTTTATCACAAAACACAAGTATTTCCTTAGACAATAATTTATTGATCTTAAACACTTAATTATAAGTGGCACTAATAGATTTGAAGTGTTGTATATATATGGTATAAAATCATCACAAATCTACCAGCATGCAGCAAATTATCAAATCCCCAGTTCATACGAGAAAATACTTAGTTCAGACAGAGTTACAACAAATCTTCGAACTGTTTATGTAAAGTTCATCCACGCCAAATTCAGGCTTTAGTCCCACGATTACACGAGAATAAAAGGATATCTAGGCAAAATGAAAACTCTTTCATAGAAGTTATTTAAACTTTGCATGTTCTTAAAATATGATGACAGAAACATTTTAAAAGTGTAAAAAATGGGGGGGGGGGTGTTATGTCGTTATTTGCCTGTTTGTCTTAAAACAATGTAGCAAACGCCATTAATATATATATATATATATATATATATATATATATATATATATATATATATATATATATATATATATATATATATATATATATATATATATATATATATATATATATATATATATATATATATATATATATATATTACAATAACATTATAAAACTAATAATATGCAAGAACATGTATATATTGTTAGCCTCAATTCTTTACTGTAATAATTAAACTTTTTATTGAAATTTGATCGTTCAATGTATTACTTATCTAGCAAATATTTACCATATTGGGGCGGGGGTCTTGTCGGGGGTCGGGATGAAGGTGGGGGCGGTGGTAGAGGATCGTCTGCCGCTGAAAATATATAAAAATACAATATAAGCCGTGTCACGACAAAACCAAACATATTGGGTTTGCGACCAGCATGGATCCAGACCAGCCTGCGCATCCGTGCAGTCTGATCAGGATTCATGCTGTTCGCTTACAGACCCTATAACAATTAAAGAAACTGATAGCGAACATCATGGGTCCTGATCAGACTCCGCGGAAGCGCAGGCTGGTCTGGATCCATGCTGGTCGCAAACCCATTATGTTGGTTTTGTCGTGACGCGGCTCATATAAAAATATAATATAAGGGATGTCTGGCCCTGTTCGCAAAAAGGACGACCAGATAAAGTATCGTTAAAACTTAAATCAAGCAGAAATACATGTATGGTTAGAAGAACTTTAATAGAATGACAGCAAACTTGAATCAATGTGGTAAGAGATCTAATCATGTGGCAAGCATTCTTCATAATTTAAAAGAATAACTTTTTGTGGCATACAAAAAATTATGATATTTCACTTAATATATGTAAACAATCTTTCTAAATTTCCTATTGATAAGCAATTATATAAACTATTGTATTGATAAACACTTCTCAAATATTTGTTTTATGACAGAAAAACAATATAGTGTCAATGTAAAATGTAGCTATTATAATTTAAAGAACGTGCACTCTTAGATAAGAAAATTAAAAGCAAAAAAGTAGCTAATTCCTAAGTTGTTTTTAATTTTTTTTGATGATTAGGGTTTGTTTTACCTATATAACCACGATCATATAATTTTGTCCACTTAGGGTATTGGTACGCGTTTAACTTTTGAGGCATGGAGGAGCACGTGACCTGTTTTTGGTACATGGAGGAGCATGTGATCTGTAAACCGTATATGATTGGTTAATTGACCTTTTTCGAAAACCCAGCTAAATACCGTTTGCCGGTACGTTACGGATTTACCTGTAGGGAATTAGTCCGAATTGTACCTAATTGAGAATAAAAATCTATTACGTGATATTTCTAATTTTCTATAATTTTTTACCGTTTAAGGTGGAAAAACTTGAATGATGTGTTTGAAAATTATCAATGTTTCTTTAATATCTATCTCAAATTTTACAAACAATGAATTGTTTATACTGAAAATCTACAAAATTAAAATATTCGTAGTGGCATCTGCCATAATAAATAGAGATAGATCTATTTTCTGCGTAAACTTGTGTGTTTACTTTATTTATTTTTTGCTCGGAATTATTCATAAAATGGTAGGCCTATTTAATCATTTTCTTAAAAAGAAATAATTGTTTTATGTTCGACCTTCTCCGGTCTTCAACGGTCACATGCAGTTTCCAAAGACCTTCTTCTATATTGTTCCATTATTGTCAACTATATTCCTGTTACAAACGTTTATTTATTCTCCCCCCAAATAATGTTGAAAATAGTTAAATAAAATATCTTTATCTCATTAAAATGTTCACCGCAGGAAACCATTTTACTTGTTCTGTTATTACCTGCTTTAGGTTGTCTTTGGCGTGACTGTTGAGCTGAATGCGCATGCGCATGACTTTGTTGATGCGCGTTGTTATGATGATTTGATTCACTTTGCGATCTTCCAATGTGGGCTGCCCGTTGTGGGTCAGAATATGCCTTCGCTGTGTTTCTATCCACAAAAGCTGAAACATAAAATTACGACATTTTTTTTTTGAACTTTTAACCCATATTGTTGCCATTGTTGCTTGCCACCAACAAGTATAATGCAGAACAAGGCCAGCCTTCGCAGCCATACAGTCGGACCAATTGTTATTATTTAACGTGAATTACTCTTCATGTTAAAGGGACTCCACTGAGATTTAAACGCCCAAAACATAACATTTTAATTTCTTACATGAATGAGCTGAGTTTAAACAGAAATATATGCAAAAATAGTTAAGAAATATACTAAAAAATAAATTGAAAATCGTATTTTTATGCTTTTCTTTGTCCGATTTGAGTGAAAAGCGTTTAAACGCTTTTCATTTTGGGTCATCTTTTTATAATTTGAAGAATTATTCTGGAAAAACGAACTGCACTTTTGCACAAAGATAAATTATCTAAGCCTACATCAAGTGGTACATATATCTGGAAAAAAATATTTTCAGTCCCATCATGTCAAGAAACCTCAGTGGGGTCCCTTTAATATTCTATTTCAACTTAAGTATTCTTGGTACGTTAAGTATTTTGTACTTATAGTATTTAATTGTACTTTTGTACATGAAAATCGCAACTTTATATCATATTATATTTATTTACAATTGTAATGTATATACATAAGACTTTGACAACAATTATTACTAGCATTACATTGTATCTGGGGTCCTCCCTTAAATGACTAAATAAGTCCGCATTTCACAGATAAACGTATATAAAAAGTACAAAGATGGTCTTGTTAGCCGATTGCGTATCAAATATTTTCATTATTTGAGTAAAATATAATACGGAATAAAGATAGTTTATCAAAAAATAATATCGATGTAAACTCATGCACAAACGCTTTGCTCGGACACAATACGAGTTAAAGGGATGTGTATTATACTTCTTTGTAAAATAAATAAAATCTATTATTCGAGACACAACCTCTGCAAAGCAACACCCTCTGGGCGACACATATTTTGGTTGTTGTCGAGAGGTGCTGCTCATAACGTCGAACTCTGGGAAAAAACTGCTGTTGGAGAGATAATGGTCCGTATACGTTTGTTTTATGGTATTTTACAAAACACATTCGATTTCAGGAACTGATGTTATAAAGTGAATTATGCATCTAGCTACATCTCACTTTTATATATCTGTCAAAATCACAGACGATACGAGTTACTCACAATTTGTTTCAAACGCCTTTCTCCTTAAAGGATGATCCCTCGAGGGTAGAGGGGGTGCGGTGTCGCTGGCTTGACTGTGTCCTTGAAAACCTATTCGAACATGAGCTGGGGTATTTGGTGTTGGTAACGAGGGTCTACGAGGTGACGTCATCACTGTTGCCATCACGTGTCAACTTAAACTGAAACAAACAAAATAACATAATACTCTTAATATTTTCGCAACTGCATTTGTATTTCATTTGTCAAGAATGTGCTTATAAGGATTTGAATTAGGATGCATTTATAAAAATATTAATACTTTATGTTTTCATCCTACCAACAACCCTACCACAATTGCAACTCCACCTGGCCGTTTCACCTACCCAACCTTTCACATCACTTAAAACACATGCTTCAATAAGCTATTTATCATACAGCTTGGCTACATTGTATGTATACTTTGTCAATTTACCTATCTTTGTTCATTTAATTTAACAATATTAAACCGATCTGTCCATCTTTTAATCTAGACAAAACCAATTATCATTTTTAGGGAGCATTCCGAAATATATGGTGACTGGAAAGCGAACAGCGCCAGTGCAGACCCTATGATCATAGGCACTTGGTTTCGAGATAAAAACCCCTTTGAGAGGTTTGTAGAACCCAAATTTGATTGAATGTAACGACTTTTTAACATAGATGTTTCGATTCTATAAACGTAAAATTCCCGATGTCGCAGTGATAGAGTCAGTTGCAGCTGGCAGGCCAAGGGTTAAAGGCGGTTCGTTTTTCTAATCCACTCACTCCTACAAAGGTACAGTCGGAACATCTCAGCTATTATCTTATCCGAAGTTTGACGGAGAGGGCCGAGATGATGCGATTGTCCAAAAGTATTGTTTAATATGTAAATCTAATACTATATCTATTTCAATGAATCACTTATTCATGTAATATGATAAGAAATGATATCATAGATATTCCTACTTTTTTATCTACCTATATTGTGTATACCGTGACAAACTATCTTGTTTTGTATAATACAAATATGAATTAGATCTACTGAAAATATATATAATATGCGTTGTAACAAGAGTTTATGATTTTACAAACTTTCCAGAGCATGCAACTTGCAAATTAAGATAGACAGATAATTTAAATGGCGAATTTGGGAAAATGGGTGTCTATGAATATTCATGCATGTGGTTATTGTTGTTGTTTTTTTCATATTTTGTTGTGGTTGTCTGCTTTATTTTCAGGGAGGGGATGTTTTGGGGGGTTTTGATCGTTCTTTTTGTTACTTGATATTTTGTCATAGTCGTTCTATACACACCATTTGCCAAAAAAAAAACGTGGATTATTTTTGAAGAAAGCCAAACTCTTAACGTAAAGAAAATTGTCATCTGCATGTAGAGAGAGAAAGCTATTGGTTAATAAATTTCCCCTCAATTTTCTTGTTGCTTATTTTTGACAATCGAGGAATTGTCACAAAGCGTTTCATTTAAAGAGTTTGAACTGAAATTAATCATTCAAGAGCGAGTGATTTTCCGGTTTTCAACAAATTAAATATCATTACACACCTTTGTATATTTCATTTGGGTGTTCCGCGATAATCAACAAAAATATTGTAGATTAAACGAAATGTTGATGGGACTCCAATGAGGTCCAAAACCTCCAACAACCGGGGAAGTATATTCAGAAAGGTTTGCACAATATAACAGAGATGTAGATAACAGAGATAAGCAGCTCCTATATACTCCATTGAAATATCACCCATGCCTATGAAAAAGTGAAAAATTAGACATTTTGTAGCAAATAAAGCTTAATTGGTGTACATTTATGATCTTTTAATATTATACACCATTTGAAAGTTAAATCTTTTATCTATTGCTGCATGTTAAAATATTGCTAACTTTCCATGCCTTTTACATAGAAAAACATAGTAGAACATACCCAATAAGCCAGTTTTTTTTATCATATGAATAGTTTTGTAACACAAAATTATTAGTAGTTCTCTTTAAAAATTAATGTATCATTTATTTAAATGGGAACTGTAAATGTTTTTACCTGCATACATAGACAAATGCAAAAGCTTTCAGAAAATATATTATTTTACTGATTTTGATATCTATGGTTAATAAGTTTTACTTGCTACAAGTTTAAAGTTTAACAAGCACAAAAGGTGTCTATTAATCTTTTACAATAATTGTTCTATATTTCAACCGTACAATTTACCTGCATTAATTAACCATACAAAATCATATCTATGGGCGTCCAATAAGTGACATTGCAACAATCGTGATTACATGTGGCACTGCATTTAGTGTGGAAATTCCGTGTCGTACAAAAACCAAAACACATGCACCCCTAAGAAGCATTTCGGCTGAAATATATCTATTTTATCGAGTTACAAATCAAGGAGGTCAGTACAATATTTAACAAGTGGATTGAACTTAAGAAAGAAACCAAAGAAAGAAAATAATTACAAAGATACAAGTGTAAAGTTATAAAGTAGGGTGGACTGCGGAATGGCGTCTTTTTATTATTATTTTGTCGCCCTTGGATCAAGTGGCGAGTATTTTTCATAATTTGTACGCTCATGTTCTATAATAAATTACTGACAGAATTTACGATATTATTAACAAACATAAGGAAATACATAAGGAAATACAGGTCCTTGAATATTAACGAGTATGGTGTTAATATATTAAGGGTCATTTAAAAAAACAATGGCGTGATGTAATTATTACAAGTGGGAAGTACTCCTATTTATAGCCATGATTTATTGAAAGTACATGTATGTGATATTAAAATGTTATTGTAATATGTAATAAACTAACCAGATTTATGTTTTCAACAAATGCGTTTAACTTTCTACGTTTAGTTTGCTTATGTAGGTTTACGATTAATGAGCGTAACTACGCTTACGATTGGTTTGTATATATATGTTAGGATTAATGTGCATCGTTGGCTTATATACGCATACGATTAGTGGGCGAAGATAAGGTTACAATTGGTGTAGGACACGTGGGCGTAAAAAAGTTTACGATTAGTGGACGTATAAACGTTTACGATTAGTGGGCGTATATACGCTTACGATTTGTGGGCGTATAAACGTTTACGATTAGTGAGCGTATAAACGCTTACGATTAGTGGGCGTATATACGCTTACGGTTTGAGGGCGTATAAACGTTTACGATTAGTGAGCGTATAAACGTTTACAATTAGTGGGCGTGTATACGCTTACGATTAGTGGGCGAATATTAGCTTACAATTGGTGTGCGAAAATAAGTTTAGGACACGTGTGCGTAAAAACGTTTACGATTAGTGGACGTAAAAACGTTAACGATTAGTGGGCGTATATACGCTTCCGATTAGTGGGCGTATAAACGTTTACGTTTAGTGAGCGTATAAACGTTTACAATTAGTGGGCATATATACGCTTACAATTAGTGGACGTACATTTGCTTACGATAAGTGTATGTGTATATATGTTTACATTTAGTGTGCATGTAAACGTTTACAATAAGTGGAAGTGTATACGTTTACGATAAGTAGGTATGAATACGTTTACAATGAGTGGGCGTGTAAAGTTTACAATCTCCATGCATTTATGATAAGTTGACGTGCATACGTTAACGATAAACGTGCGTATATACGTTTAAAACAAGTGGGTGTTGTATACGTTTACAATCAGTGAGCGTATAGACGTTTACGATTGATGTGCGTAAATATGTTTACAATTTGTAGGCGTAATTACGTTTACGACCGGTGTACATATATATCTTCACAATTAGTGGGTGAATATATGCGACACTATGTTTGTAATAGTGGGCATATAAACATTTATGATTGATGGTTGTGGAAACGTAACGCTTACAGTTGGTTTGCGTATAAACGTATAATATTGACGTGCGTATATATATTTGCCATAAGTGGGCGTATATACGTTAACTATTGTTGTGTACATATATGTTTACAATTAGTGGTGTGTAGAATGTTAACGATTTGTGAGTGTATATTCTTTTACAATTATTAAGGCATGATATATGTTAACAAATTAATGACTGTATAAACGTTTTCAATTAGTTCGGGTACATTCGTTTACGACTTGAGCTCGTATATATGTTTACGTAAATACGTTAACGATTGATGTGCGTATATAATTATGTTTACTATTATAGTTCGTTAATAATGATTAGTAGGTAGAAATGAGACATTTTTGACCCAGGGTAGAGGTAGGCGATGTTTCGCATTTCTATTACAAGAAGAAAGTAAGTCATTTTAGTCTATTTCCAGGGGGCGGGGAGACGAGTGGTGCGGTGTATAGTCATTCCTGGAATATCAAACTCGTTTTTTAACGCACAGGAGTACATTTATTTAAAAACCCTCTATTAAAAGTCAAAACAAACGCTAAAATGAATTTCTTTGGATTAAAAAAGCCACTGGATTCGCTCATAATAATGTTAATGCTCTTTAATAGCTTAATGTATTCACAATAAGCGCTTCGTTGCTATTGAATCAAATCTGCATTAAGCAGATGCTTTATGCATTACTGCTTTTTCGTTTCGTGAGAAATGATATACACACTCATTTAGACGTACAATGTAAATATAAATAAATAAAGGAAGTATAAATATACCATACAACTTGACCTTGTCAATTCTCAAATGAACTTTAAAACATAAGTACAATTAAATATACCGGTATTTGATTATAAAGTTAACATCAAGGGACAATATAATCGTATCACGTATTGAACTTATCTTCTTGTTCAATGCAGATATTCAATACATTGTAAAATATGACACACTTTTTGGCGTAATATAAATACAATCGATATTTTCGGCTCTTTCCGTCAAACTTCGGATTATGAATAATAGCTGAGATGTTCCGATTGATATAAATATTGATAAAGAATGAAATATCGATCTCTCAAAGTACCCGGATTAATTCTTGGAGCGTAAAATTGATATAGTGTCTTATGTCAAAGTTTTTTTTTCAAGTTCTTAAATTGAATTCAAATGTCATGATATAATGATAAGTGTTATCGTTTTCACTCTTAACGTGCTAAATAAATTAAATTGACTTGTCCATCTTTCAGTCTGGACAAGACCATTTATCCTTTAGCGGAAAGGTGGTGGGGGACTTGCAAATTCTTCAAAGAATATGGAAAATTGCAGTATATGTTCGTTCACAGCACACCCTGTTATATTAGCCCCAACATAAATCAATATGAGTTTTATTTTTATATATTTCGAAACATTTTAATGTCTCGAAACCGAAACTTAAATAATGGCTAGTTAAATACATTTGTGTAACACTTTTCTTCTTCATTTTTATATGTTATATGTCAGTTTGGTTGTTGTTAGTTACTACTGCTGTTGTTGTTGTTGTTGCTGCTGCTGCTGCTGCTGTTGCGGCGGCGGCGGCGGTTGTTGTTGTTGTAGTAGTAAAGATTTTAATAATAATCAAATGAAGATTTGCAATGTGCCCTCTTCCTAAATAAATCGTTGAATCGTTGATTAATTTTGCAACCTTGACGTAAACATTAATTACAAAAAAACATTAATTATAAAAACAAGATAACGGATGTAATGAAACCTGTTTTAATTTATTTATCGCAATAAAATGGGCTACATTTAAAAACATGTGTATTAAACCATTGGTCCAGTCCAGGTATAGACCTACATTTCTCATTCACCACTGTCTGTGTGCACGTTATGCAAATAAAGTTTCTTTTTAAACATACGATGAATTGAGAATATATACATACTGTATACATGTCTCAAGCAAACTGTCGGATACCTAGCTTAACACCAGATACACATATAGAGGTAGATAAACTTTATACCCCTAAGAAATTGTATGTATACATAAACTATATTGATACAAAATACCCGGGGAATTTGTTAAAAACCAAATATATATAATATATACTGGTATACATAAAATATATTGATACACATACCAAAAATTCGTTAAAAACCAAATATATACGGATATACATACCTATATTTTGATACATACCTCATAATTCATTAAAAACCAAATATATATACATTTGTACTGGTATGCATAAAATATCTTGTTACATACCCTCAAGAATCTGTTAAAATCCAAATATACGTAAACCTGAATACGCAAAATATACAGCCATATAAACCCAAAAGGAAACGTTAAAAATCCAAACATAAATACATATGTATTTATAGTACAAATATACGGATACATACTCCGAGAAATTGTTAAAATCCCTATGTTATATACCCTCTAAACTACCAGCGGATAAGTAACTTAAACACGCTTACCTTATATAATATCACACATATTATCCATCTCCTAATATAATTACAAATCATTCACTTCTCATTCTTTAAAACGAATTAACTCAAGTATAACCGTGCGCTTCTATATAGTATACAGATCAAGTACATCGACAACCTTCTTTATTCTCAAAACACCAGGAAGTTTTAAACATTCAGATTTTGTTTTTATCATGTATATACTCGGCGTTTCGTTGATAAAAGTTTATACAATAATCTATTATTTTTTTACTGAAGAGAAAGCGGAAGTAGTCGGGGTTATATTTTTTCTCTTGTGAATAATTGAAAAAGTAAAACTTAATTGCTTTAAGTTAACCCGTGATCTAAATTAATGGTATTACTAATACGCTCTCAAAATAAGTACACTTTAAAGTAAGTGTGAATGACATAGGTTAAGTTTTAAACAAAGATATATTTTATGAAACAAACAACAAAAATCTCTATATACGAGAAGTTTAACGCATAATTAATCATAGCATTGTTAATGGAGTAGATGAACCAAAAGATATGTGCACATTAAATGTTTATATGCGCACAAAATGGTTTAAACCGCAACATGAGATACAGTTAATGGGAGATAAATCTAAATGATATGATATCATGATGTTTCCGGCTTTCAAGTGTGTGTATTATAGAGATAACGTTATTTGTTTTTATTTTGGACGTAATAGTCAGATCGTCTGACGATAGAATATGGTGAATTTTCAGAAATTTAATGCACTTTGTACAGAGAAAGAACAAAACGCCGGTTCATTAAATGACCATGCCATGAGGACATCTCTCGGACATATATTTGGGTAAGAGCTTCGGTCCCCATTTTGTGCAGAGAAAACCCTCCAAAGATGTACAAAAACGAATCTGCAACAGAATCAGACACATTGTCTTTAAACGGTTGGCTCTAGAATATGGTGTTTTTACGAAATTTCTTAAACCTATATACTTAGAGAACTAATCTTCGGTCCAAAACATGGACCATTTTAAGCGGACCTCTTGCTATCATTTTCTTTGCGTTATCTAGAATTTTTAGCCTAAATAGTTGTGAAGAATATTGTCTGAACCATCACAATTAACTTGATTATTCCACTTTTTTAATTTTATTTATTTTTCTTTTTAAGTACGTAGCGTTCATTTTACAATGGCTAACTGTGTATGACGACAATTATTGTAAGAACGTGCTCTATGCAGATGTGATTGATCAAAATAATGTTAAACACAATTTCAGGAGGTTATTGTCTTCATGAATCGGGTTGAAATTTTTAGTTGATCTACGTATATATCGGAAACAGTAATCACCGGTCCAAGAAACGGCCATGCCACGCGGAAATTTCCTGCAATTATTGTTTCGGTTAGGCCTTTGGCGCTCATTTTGAGCAAAGGAGACCCTCCAAAATTGTACAAAAACGAATTTGCAATGGAATCAGACAAATAGTTGGCTATAGAATATGGTGTATTTTACAAAAATTTAAGCTCTATATATAGACACATAACAGAACGCCGGTACAAAAAATTGTCATGCCATGCGGAAATCTCCCGGACATATTCCGGACCATTTTATGCGGGCGTCTAGCAATCATTTTCCTTGCGTTAGCTTGATTTTTGCCTTATAATGTTGTGAAGAAGATCCTGTAAACAATCACAATCTACTTGATCATTCCACTATTTTTTGGACATGCATTTTGTCTGTATTTAAAGTGTATAAAGTTTCGTTAAATAGCATCATTTTCTAGAACCAACAGTTAAAATATCATGGGTTTGTTTATATAGCGGATTTGTTTGGAGGATCATCGTTACAGCAATATAAGGCACAAAGCTGTAACTCAAGCAAACCGACCTGGAGGTTTCCGCGTAGCATGATCGGTTTTCTTGACCGGCGATTTGTTCGTGTTTTTTTTAAGGTGGGGTGTTGTTATTTTTTTATATGTATATGAAGTCTCTGAGTTTTTGTCAAAAATAACACCGATTCCTGGAGAAAACCATTCCTCTGATTATTTTGCCCTAGCTATATTTTTAACTTTCGTATTGATGGCATTGTAAGGCACAAAGCTGATTTCGAAGGAAAAATTGTTTCCTGGTCGCCTGTTGGACCTGGGATATATTGATTCTGATTATCTACAAAATGACAGACAATTTGCAAGCATTTTAAAGAGATCTCAAATTCACGGTCATGAAAACGCTTTCTGATGTTGTTTCACAAGAACGCGTACGTTAGAATACGTTATTTCAGGAATGTACGTCATACACAGCCAGTCATATGCACAGTGATAAATAGTATAATGGACGCTAGAATAAAAAAAAACATCAAACAACTTTTAATGAGCATTTTGGTCGGGACAGTCAAGTGGCATGCATGTATTTAATGGTGCGAATTAGCCATAACAATAGTTAACAAAGTTCTAGCCCAAGTTCATGTATATAGCCTTCGGAGGCCCGCATGGCATGATCGTTGTCTTCGAATTTTCGAAGAAATCACTATAATATTCAGCTCACCATCAGAAAACCACAGGTCTTATATCGTTTCTAATTAGCCATAATTAAAGTTTTGAGGTTCTTTTTTAATTGCGAAGGTGGCACATTTTGTTTCTGTGGATTTCGAGTTTTCGTACCAAATTTGTATGCGGACCCAAACATTGAAACGTAAACATTGCATAATACAGGATGTCAAATGATAGAGGTCAACTATTACTGTAAGACTATTAAAAACGAACTTCCAAACTATTGTTATGGCTAAGTCGAAAAAGAATCAGACCAACTGTTCTCTGACAGTAAGCGAGTGAAAAGTGCATTTTTTTAGAAAATTCGAAGACTTCATAGACAGAAAAAGTAAATCGCCAGCCATAAAACCAACAGTAACTGTTTTGTGTTGGTGATCTGCAGAAAATAGCGGGTTTTTTACGAAAGTTCGAAAAGCCGCAATGCATGCCTTTAAGTCAGCGAAGGCCAATCATGTTATCAGTCAAGAAGGCGGTGTGTGTTTAGGTAACTGTACTTTAAAAAGCAAATATCTATATTAAATATAGCGAAAATTACATCTATGATTACCAAAAATAACAAGATCGCTATCAGTGAACAAGACTGAACTTGTAGTCATTCGCAAACGTGGTGTCTTTAAGTATTGTAATCATTTCAAGCGGTGTGTTTTGGCGTATTGTTATTATTTCCAGCGGTGTGTTTTGACGTATTGTCGTCATTTCCAGCTTGGTGTTTTATGCATAGTTATCCACTCCAGCGTGGTGTTGTAACGCATTGTTATCATTTCCAGCGTGGTGGTTTGACGCATTGTTTTCATAGCCAGCGTGGTGTTTTGACGCATTGTTATCATTTCAAACGTGGTGGTTTGACGCATTGTTATCATAGCCAGCATGGTGTTTTGACGCATTGTTATCATATCCAGCGTGGTGTTTTGACGCATTGTTATCATTTCCAGTGTGGTTTTGTAACGCATTGTTATCATTTCCAGCTTAGTATTTTGACACATTGTTATCTTTTCCAGCGTGGTGTTTAAACGCATTATGAACACTTCTAGCGTGGTGTTTTGACGCATTGTTATCATTTCCAGCGTGGTGTTTTGACGCATTGTTATCATTTCCAGCGTGGTGTTTTGATACATTGTTATCATAGCCAGCGTGGTATTTCATGCATCCTAGGTACTTCCAGCGTGTTATTTGTTACGCATTTTTACGCATTGTTATCTTGTTATCATTACCAGCATTACGCATTGTTGTTATTTTCAGCGTGGTGTTTTGATACATTGTTATCATAGCCAGCGTGGTATTTTTATTCATTCTAGGTACTTCCAGCGTGCTATTTGTTACGCATTTTTACGCATTGTTATCTTGTTATCATTACCAGCATTACGCATTGTTGTTATTTTCAGCGTGGTGTTTTGACGAATTGAAATAATTTCCTGAAAGGCCAAGAGCTACATTCGGAGTTTTCAGATGTCAAGAAAGTTTTGTAATTTTGTTTTTTTTGTTGTTTTTTTTTAATTTTACATCGTTACGCATGTGTAAGGAACCGCTGTTTAGAGATAATTAAGAATTAAGGGACAAAGCAAACAGATAAAAAGCATTGGGTGCATGAGAAACTGTCCACTTGAATAATAGAAGAAAAAACATTTAAAACACTGAAGCGTAATAATAAGCTACATGATAGTTATGATAAGCTACAAAACATTCAAATATACTAGGTTCCATCACATTTTGTTAAAATAATGTATATAAAACTTCAGTTTTGTAAATGTTGGATACTGAATTGAAATTCAGTTGCCATGATAAAAATTTCATATCTTTCTTGACCAGATACGATCATTGATGTAAGGGTCATGTGTTGCAACTTCTAAACTTGGACTGAAGTGTCTTTCTAAGTGTGCGTGCGTGTGTGTGTTGTTGTTGTTGCTGCTGCGGCTGTTGTTGTTTTGCACTTAAGAAGAATTTCTTCAGACACTTTGACTTCCATTCTAATCCTGTTTTAGGAATATTTGAAATTCCTTGTGTATATTGTAAATTGAGAAATATAATATTTTTAAACTTTTTTATACGTACGAGAAACATGCATCATTTTGTTTTTAAGAGCCGCTGACTTTTAATGCTACAACTAACGTTTTATCCGGCTCACACACTTAAACTAAATGAAAAGGTTGTATATAACAGAAATATTTATCAACAAATTTATTCATCTTTTTTTCCCTTTCCTTCTTATGACAAAAGTAATATAGCTGATCAACAAATGAATTAAATATCAACAAATACTGCTTTTACTTTGCAACAAAAAAAAACTAATTTAGTTTTACTTCTGAAAAGCGTCCTCTGACTGTATAGCGTTAATCTCTTCTTTTTTTTGCAAACTAAGACTCCAAGTCACTCCATATTAATTTAGCCTCTTTTGAGCAACACATCTAAGCAACAACCAAAATCTTTGTCTTACGAAAGACCGATGGGGACATTTCAAATTCATGAATTCCCGATTTCAACTTCATGAATTCCCGATTTCAACTTCATGAATTCCCGATTTCAACTTCATGAATTCCCGATTTCATCTTCACAAATTCACGATTTCAACTTCATGAATTTACGATTTCAGCTTCACGAATTCATTCATGAATTCATGATTTCAACTTCACGAAATCACGATTTCAGCTTCATGAATTCACGATTTCAGCTTCATGAATTCACGATGTCAACTTCACGAAACTTACGATTTCAACTTCATGAAGTTGAAATCGTGAATTCGTGAAGTTGAAATCGTGAATTCACTAAGTTGAATTCATGAAGTTGAAATCGTGAATTCAAGAAGTTGAAATCGGGAATTCGTGAAACTGACACCATGAATTCGTGAATTCCGTATGTTGGAAACGGAAATTCAGGGAGTGAAAATGGTGAATGAATTCATGAAGATGAAATCGAGAATTCAAGAAGTTGAAATGACCCTACTGGTCTTTTGTTTTGCCTTCTAAGGAGTGTTACTCTGCAGATATTTTACTGTACACAATAGGAATATCTTTTATAAACAAAACGTAAATTCATAACTGTTAATAAATATTTTTATTTATCAACTAATAAATAATCAAACTGTCATAAAATTTATGTTCTATTATACATGTAAAACAAGTTTACAAAGAAAACAACATTTTCTAATATTTCTGGTTTTCAACGTGATCTTTGAAGGTATACCTATTTCATTCCCTGACTTACAAGTTTTGTGTTGACCTTTTAAAGACAAATGTCCAAACATATAAAAACCCTGCGCTTGCTGTTTCATTTTTTTGTACAGCTGTAATGCTGTTATTGTTGTTGTTAATGTGTGTGCGCGCGTACGTGCGTGCGTTGTTATGAAATTAATTTGTCTTTGCACCAGTATGAAGCCAGGCCAAATGGATTGTTTAAAAGATGGGCAAATTCATAACACTAATTCGGTAGGTTTAGGGTTAACTTGAACTAGACACGTCATCCAGTTCCTGTCGTATTTTGCTAACAACTTAACTAAATGTATTCTAAACATATTTACAATAATATATTATACATAAGCTTTTAAAGTTTAAAACACTCTATCCATTCATTTTATAAACATATATGTACTTATAACACATATCCGTATATATTTCTACGTAGATAAGGACACATTTCTACTTATAACATGTACTTATAAAATATAGCTAATTTACATATTACTTGAACAAAAACATAAGAAAAAAAACTTATTACTAGTAGTAGCCAGAAAAGTATTGTAAAAAGCAAAATGCCGATCTTTATTTACAAACAATAATTGTATTTACATTATTTATAATGATTTACATTTCCTCCTTTTCTTTTTCAGGGTCTGTTGTTTCAATTGGTGGCATCAGGTTAGATTTTTCTCTTGGCAATGATGGATAGGGCATGCTTTCTCTATGAGTCAATTCCCCTAACTCATCATATTCTTCATTATCAAGTCCTTGCAGAGTTAGCGGCCCTTCTCCGGCCATTGAGTTATCCATTCGTAATGTCCGTGCATTCGGATTCTCATTCGGAACTATTCTGGTGTCATTCCCAGATATCACTTTTTCATCGCCGTTGAAAATCACCATCGACTCCTTTGCAGCGTTTATTCCTATTCTAGGCATAGGTCTTTCACTTGACCTTTCGGACATGTCTATACCGGAGTCTCTGCGCACGGAACCATTTGTCATGCCGCTTGGTACAATGCCATTCGGACTCATTGACAGCCTATTTCCGTTCGGCCATTTGCCGTTAGCGAGTATGTTGGGACTCATCGCTTCGAATGTAATCTCGTCACGTGTCACTGGTGTAGAGGATGTGTCCACAAGCTCCAAGTCTTCTATGATATCATCTTTTTCAGGGTCTTGAAATGAATAAAAATATTCAAATTAGAAACTTGAATGCATATAAATAATGATACAAAAAGTGTTGGATTTTTTAAGATAATTTCGTCGCGATTCACCATGTGTAAGCAAACTTCAAAGTAAGTTAAATAATTTACCGGTGCTATTTCCTTGAAAACAGTATAAACTATAGTTTTTATGTTATCCATCATACAACATATATAATATCTATAATGAAGGAAATCTGAGATGACTTGAATATTAAAATATTCAAATTGTAACTTTTACCTTTAAAAGAATGTTCCATTTTAGTTTTTTCTGTGACTTTGACATAGGTCAAAATCATGTTTTTCTCAGATAAAACAAAATTAGTATGCGTATTGTGTGCGGCCACAATTGTTACCAAACTAATAGCTCCCATAGAATGAATGGTTATCAGAAAACAGAAGATAAATACATGTACCCATTCAATTGTTAAAAGCAAATCAAATTAATAATAGGCCGCACACCTGCACACCACAAACGCAAAGGATACACAATGTTTCTACACCTTTCCTTCTTTTATTTTGACATGAATCAAATTTAATGTAACAATTCCCTTATCTAGCTAAATATGGAAAGCAATTGGTCTAAAACCACTAGGTTAATCATAAGTCTTCAAACACTTTCACATTATTTATTAAGTATGTGGACGAGTTGGAATTCTTTTCGCGACATGTATAAACATAGACTCTGTGAAGAATCAGTGAGAACTTGTCATGGGACAGGAAATCGGTGTATATGATATTAATTATGTTTCAATCTACATTAACACGTTCTTTTTCTTTCTTTCTCCGTCATCTGTATGAATCTTTTGTTTTAGTTTATAGAGGAATGTGTATCTAGTTTGATGTGTCTTGCTGATAGGTATATGTCACAATAAAGAGCAACTTGTAACAATCATTATTTCATCCTTTCTTTTCCGTGCTTTGTTTACGTCTGACAAAGTCAAATTATGTTAAATATGTTAAAACCGAGCAGTTTATAAATATAAATTGATATATTGTATCCGTGCAAGCACAAGGTGTGAGCGTTGACCAAAATAAAAAAACAAATCCAAAGCAGAGTGCACTGTTAACTTAAAATTCCTTTAACGAAACAGGACTTGATCGGGCTGACAAATTGCCTTTTCCGTCAATATCAAGGGCTGATTCTACTCTCCGTTTCGTCAAAGTGGCATAATCCAAATCTATAATTTCTAAAGGCTCTTCTAAAATGTAGAAACAAGAACGTAAAAAAATAAAGAATTGACGCAAGAACTTGATAGAAAGAATATCAAGCCGAGAAACCAAAATCACATAACACCTAGTCAGCTGTAAGTCTACAAGTTACCAAGTTTAGATAATGTTACCAAATGTTGTATTCAAAAACCTAGCGAACATTTTCAGTTGTCTCAATCTCAATGCCTCGATAACTCGAATCGGGTGATTTCTTAGTCCATTTCCCTTACTGAATTTTTCCGCTAACTTTTTAACCTGCTTTTATCGGAGGTGACATACGTTTGCCACCAATATAGATCCAGATCAACCCGCAATGCTGTGTAGTCTCATCTTGTCCCATGCTTTTGGAAGCTTAATTTTTGGACGATATGGAAATCCCAAAGACTTTAAATTGATTCGATTTAGATTAGTTTAATAGAATGATATTTACCTTCAAATTTTGGTTTTGTATTCTCTATAATAGGTTTGCCAGCGTTCGGGTTCTCTCTTGTAGTAACAGAAATAGAAGATCAGAAAGTCCAATGATGATAGCTTAGAAACGAGGAAACCGACAACCAGTCCGACGATCAACGCGATGTTGACGCCGCTGCTTACTTGATTCTGTTATGGCTGGAAAAATGTGAACAGCTAATTAGCCCTACAGTGATAGTTGAATTCGTTTTCATCAATGCAGTAACGGTTTAACTCACAGGAGTTAGCCCGTTACTTCATTAAGGTGACAAAAAAAGGCCTTACAACATGCATGTGTATCAGCAGTAAAGAAGCCATGTCCATCTGCAACTCTGTACACCATGACCTTGGCGGCCAGTCCACCTAATTGGCTTTCCTGGTTTGACTAACCAGTAATTAATTTACTTAATTTCGCTTGCCAAGTGACCGAATGTTTATCGTACATAATTTTGTGAACCCCATCGGAGAGAGATAAATGAACATTAAGCACAATGTCAATTGCAAACGGAGGTATTTTGCCAAACTGTTGGATATTCAAGTTATGATATTGGGGGAACCCTGAAAATTACAAAGGTAGTGTGGATTAGAAAACCGAGAGTCGATTAAATTAAGGCAGTTTATCGTTACTTTTCTTAGCTCTTACAACCCTTTTTATTCATATATTTTTGTGAAAACATGTCTTTGAAAGAAACCATAACATTCATAAAAAAAATGAATTACATTCTTTGCTTTTTAGCTTAATCAGTTGAATAAATGAATAATTTCATCGTTTAATAATTAAAGTTTTAAGGAATTATATATGGTGAATAAAAGGTAAAGGTTATTTGTTTTGTAAAAGGCATGATGTGCCTTTAAACAAAATGAAATGTTTGGGATTTACTTACGGCAAAGGGCTAAAGAAAAAAAAAGAAAAACAGAATTAAAAATTATACAATTCTGATAACAGGAAATGCAATTACAATTCAACACAAAATGGTTAGCAATTATACAAATGTATCTTATTGATTTACATACATTGATATTAAATTTTGTTTGTTTGTCTGTTTGTTTGTTTTATTTTACGCCTTTTCCCAACAGTATTTCAACATTGATATAAGAAAGTAACTGATTACCTCTAAGCATAGAATTTTTTTAATGACAGTTTGCTTTCAAAAGAGGAAATATCAGAAATGAGATCTACGAAACAGCACCCAACAAAACAGAGACATTTGATGGCAAAAAAGTATTTTTTAATCGACTACCCGCCGTGATTTCCATAAACTTTTATCTATAGCACACACATTTATCAAATCAATAAATGACTTATAGTAATTTATATACACAGTTGATACATCTTTTTTTTTAAAAGAGGCGTTTTGGTAGATTTTTTAATGATTTGATAAGTGTGTTTATAAAAATCACGGCGGGAAGTCGGTCACAATGGTTAGTCGATCAGAAAAACTTTTTTGCCATGAAGTGCCTATGAACTTGAACAGTGCTATATAACCTATCATTTATCGACGTAAGTCAAATTCTAATAAAAACAAATAAAAATTATAATGGTAAACAAGTATTAGGTCTTACTAGTTGATGTAAGAGGTTCGAATACCGCCACATTGGTATCTGTGGTAGAAGAGGTTTGTCCTGCGATACATGAGGTGTGGCTGTAGGAGAACAACACCTGTCCGTCGGATTCCTCTGTCACTGCCTGTAACAACCAATAGAATACTTTTATACGATTTATGTAAACGTAATAGACACAACCATACCCACATAAATGCGGAAGATTTCATTCCAGTAAGAAACATATAGAAATTGGTAATATATTGAAAAATGTGAAAACATTACTCCAAATTATAGAAAACTATGGTATGTATACATAAACGCAAAAATAAAAAACGAAATAAAAAATAATAAAAAACTCAATACATGATAATCATGTATCAATTTAAATGAAACTGTCAAGGTTTTCAAATTTTTTTTAACAAATCGAACATAATTGCTCGAAGAATACATATGTATATTTAGTTTCACTTTTTAGTACCCACGCATGGCACAAAATGTTACGACCATAAATGGTTGCATCTCTTCAAAGCCGGCAGAAACATGCTCTATAGACTGCAGAGTGCTTAAAGATTAAAGAAAAGGATCGGCTGATGTAACCAGTTGTGCCAAAGATTGTAGATAACTTACCAGACATACGAATTGAAATGTAGTTAGATCATTAACACTGGCATCTGTGTTATACAAGGTTTGATAATAAACTGTAGCCGACGAGACTGTTGCTGAAGTCTTCGCTACACAGTTTAAAACTCCTCCCGCTGAAAAAATAATGCTATACATGTAGTATATGACTTAATAATTACTTAACATTAAATTGAAACAAAAATGTCTATACATTGTCTTTGGCATCGAAAACTATGATTAAGCACTGTTTCAGATATTATTGAATTTTAAAGAGTTTTAAAGTTATCGGTAGAAGATCGACTACCGGGATATTGAACAAAATACATGTAACATCAATTAGGATATGACCCTAAAATCTTAACAAACCTTATTTGGAATAATTGCCACAGTTTTTTCTTCCCAACATTTTACATTCTTTCTGGCCCCATTGAAAAATACAATTAATGATACAATTTGTATGAAGAAACTTCGATACAAAACATCCTTTATCGCAATTCAAATTTTTATTTAAAAACTACCAAATAAAAAAAATCAGTACAATATGTAAACAAAGCAGCAACATATCGTATAGTACTTGTATCTATTTCATTCAAATATGTCTAGAATATGTAAAAATAATGAATAAAATACTACAAAGGATCATTCATATAAAGAAATAAAACCATTTTTGAAGTTTTTACCAATACGATAGTCGAATGTCACAGTTGTTAAAGTGAAAATTCAATTTACATTTGTAATTGTGTATACATTTTTGTATATATTTACTTCAAATGCATTTTTACAATGTTAATATAAGCGAAAAGTTAATAACTCGTTAATTAATTCAATATATTTGAATTGAGAAATGAAAAACTTGCTTAAGTATAGGCTTTTTGTTTTACATATATAACGCCCAAAATGAGATACATGAAATCTTCATATATGAAAATAAATACAAAATTTTTGATAAAGAAAAGTTATACACTTTTAATCAAGACAACTTACTAGAAAATAGAACTGGAGAAGATGGCGAGCATTGTGAATGGTTGAAAGCTAGCGTCTGTTGAGAAAATGTGTCACACACATTTAAGGTACCATTTTCCGAACTAGATGGACATGAGTATAAAAAGTCACCAAGCAACGGGCTTGCACAGTAATATTTTACAGTGCTGGCGGAATCTGAAACAAAAAGTATCATTGCTGGTTCAAACAATTTTGGGGAAAAATACATATTTGTTCATAAAAAATACGATATTATTTTTGTCCAGTGCCCCATGGAAAACATCTGTGATCATTTCTATTTCTTATTACAATAATGTTTTCTTTGTCTTGATCAGTTGAAAAGAAGAAAATCTTTCTTAAAATATATATTCTATTACCAAATCATCCCTTTTAAATCTAATTTTGTTAAAGTTGAATAGAGAATACTTGTGAAAGAACACATTTGGTGTTCAGTTAGTAAAGTATAATGTAAATATTACCCTTTCTAACCATCACGTGATATTCAGCAGTATCCACTGCTTCAGAACACGCTGCATCAACCGTTGTTGTATCACTAGCCAACATCAGTCTTCTCTTAACACCCGACAATGCTAAAATAAAAATTACTTTGTAGTGTTTGCTCGCTCATGTGAACCATTTCCCAGTGGTGAGTATAAAAATACATAAATGAAACACATTTCCCAGTCGTTTTGTCTCCTTTCTGTTATGGTTAAGATACATGTATACAGTCGGATGAAGCCAAAAACCAGTATTTTTGACAACTGGTTATGATTAAAAAGTCATTGAGCAGACGATAACTTTTTATAAAATGGCCAGTTCTCTAGTATAGATATACATATCAAAGCGTAGAACAATCAAAACGGTTAACATAATACTGTTTAGGAACAAAATATAGTTCAGATAAGAATCGAGATTATATCACCTGATCAATATTTCAACATTATTTATAAAAGTGCAAACTCAATTCAAAGAAATACCTGTAGGGTGGTAATAAATGTAGGAATCTGACCCTTGCTGATGAAATTCAAAACAGTAGTAAAAATAGATGTTTGTTTGCAGTGAATTTGAAAGATCTGTGTTCAATGACCTGAAATATTAAAACATGTGCATAATTATAGAAATAACTTGTTACATTGTAAAAATAATTAAATCAGGAAATAAAATATGCGAAATAGGAGCTGGTTTGGTTTCGCCTTCATTATGAGAGATGGAAAATGCAATATCTCTTACGACACCTAGCGCCGACCAAAATACTTTTTAATCATCAACATTAAAGTACATGTATTGTATTATATGAATATAAGTCCCATTTGTATTATATGAAAATCAATATCAATATATAAGTATTCGGATTTTAATTTATATAATTAAATGTTAAAATATTTTTTAAACAATGGCAACATTAAACAACGCCAAAAACCAAAACAAATGTAAATTTTACAGGCTCGTTTGATGCTTCTTCATGGACTTGGTGATAAGTGAAGGCTTGTGATAAGTGAAGGTTATGGTCTACGCCCCTTTGGACCGACTTAAGCATTTTTAAAAAAAATGAAAAATGATAAAATAAAATGAAATTGATAAACATCCGCAGATATGCTCATACTTCAATGTGACACGTTTGTGCCATCCTATGAAAAAGGGGCGTACGTGTGGTTCTCAAGTAAAATATGAGCATCCTTTAATCTAGAAAACAGTGAGTAGAACTACATGTATATAAATGGGACTTTGAAATGGAAAGCAGACGTCATCATATCACTTACGCAACCTTTAATTAAAAGACCTATTTAAAAAAGCAGACAACATATCCAAAAGCCGGATACTGCCATGCTTAGTCCGGTCATCCTGCACGAACTTTGGACAAGTCAGGGCATAGACAAGTACAAGTAATTTGCAAACCTTGCCACAATTAATGACCTCATTTTCTATGTTGTTACTTAATCAGAAACAGCATAAAGATTTACGGTTACTTACCGGAGAACATATTTACTGCCAGACGACACCTCGCATGTCCAATTGGCTGATTTACCGTCTTCTGAGAACTCAGCCACGTTTGTCTGTAAGTACAAAAACAATTGAGAATAAAGATCAACATGGCAAGGCCACGTTCACAAGAACGCAGCCCCGGCACAATCTAGTCACATTAGCATGGCACCCAGAAGGCAACGAACTAAAATGGGGAGAGGACATAAAGGGCGGGATATGAAATAATTGAAATGATGAAACCTAAAAGTAAGATCGCATAAGTATTATACAATGTACATGAAATAGTGCCATACAAAAATTATTTCCAAAACAAATTAACACAATATGATTATATTTTCTAAAGAAATGTATACATAAATTTTTTAGAAATAAATTGCAAAAATCGGTCAGATTGCTTTTTCTTAGTAAGGCATCAGTAAGGTTCTTACTCCAAAAGTGATGTCACCAAATTCGGTACTCGTCCATACACTGCTGCTGAATCCGGAGGGAAAGGTACACTGACCAGCTAAAACAAAATTAAAAGAAAGAAAATACAGAAAAACGACTTAGCCGTATGACAAATGAAAAGCGTCCTTTTAAGATATGTTTCCTAAACAGAGCGTTAAAGGGGTCAGGTAAATGAGTTTTTGAAGAGGAATGCATCTGACGACACCCTTCTAAGAATTATTTCAGACACGACAGGGTTTCTGAGTAGAACAACCGACACTTTATTAGTTAGCTGTCTATCTGGAAACTGAACAGATATCTTTATGTACATTAGAGATATAATGTAATTGAAAATGAAATAAAATAATATCGTTACTAAGTATTTTTTGTTAATTGTATGAGAGACTAAGATTGGCTTATATTTAGATGTTTTTATAGTAACAAATTAGTCATTAAATTGTGTTTTGTTTTTAGAGTTTGTGCAGTGATAAGCAATCATTATCTCTTGTAATATATTATCACAGCTTATCGGTCCGATATTTCATTTCAGACAAAATAATACTTCATAATTTCATATGTATATAAACAGAACAAAACAGAGTTAATTTCATAACGTGTGCATGCACACATAGGTACACCGTTTTAACAAATATGTTAAAATATCATTTTAGGTCACACATTTTACAATATAGAAAAAAACACATAAAAACAATAAACAAGTTATACAATATAATTATAGCAATGGGATATTTAATCAAATAACCAATTAGTTTCCACTTTTAACTCTTTTTATTAACTCTATAATACAATAAAATATGTATTACCTGAGAGTTGAAGACAACATAATATTACAAACAATAAAACAATCATATTGCTTGCTTTTAATTATCTAATTATCTCTTTATTACGAGACACATCATTTTATCTTATTCCACTAAATATATAGCATTCATTTAATATTTATTTGTAAGTCATTTTAAAATCACTTCGACGCCTGAATAAATACACAATAAGCAACCTAAATACGAGTTGTCGTGGAAATCCAAAACATGAATACAAAATAGTGTTCGTTCGTCAGTGAAGGAATTGTGAATAACGAAGGGAATGTTTGAAGTTATTGAAATAGTAAACGACACATTTCAACAACAATAGATTTACATACGCTTCATTAGCTGTATTAATTAAGAAACTTTTGTTTTTAAAACGTGTTCTAAAGTTTTAATAATAAGACGGTGACGTACCCTAGGAGTATACATGTAATATGATATTGCCTAATATTGAACTTTTAAAATTATATTGAAATGTACGGATTACGCAGTCATTTAAGAGGCGATAGAGCGAAAGAGTTAAAGCGAGTAGAATTTGATAATAATAATAATAATAATAATAATAATAATAATAATAATAATATTAAACAAAATAAACAAAAAAATACACACCAACCAAAACCGATATGACATATAGTTGAATATCTCTAACGACCCACTCCCCTCCCCCCCCCCCCCCCCCAGCACTGGTTTTAGCAGAATACAGAATACAATTTTATTAAGTAATTTTAAAGATGTGTATTTTTTTTTTAATAAAATTGGATTTTTAAAGCTGATTTACCTTGTTCTTACAAAAATGAAAATAATGGAATTCTCAATGTAAATAATGCTTTTAATTGTATACTATAATGAAATATTGATGATATCAAATGCTTATTTGGATTCCCGTATTATCATATTATCACTGTATGGACTTTTTTTGCCATTTTTTTCTCTTAAATATCACGAAGTGTTCCCATTTCAAGACATCCCAGCTGTGACTGTAAACATTTTAAGTGTATTTATTCTAGCAGTGCATTTTAGTATCGTTTTCTGACGAACTTAAAATTTATTGTTTCTGTACGTGTATTCTGCAGAAACTCTGGGTGGACATGTTGAAGAAGTAGTACTTGCAAGAATCAATAACAATTGTAACTTGGATAATTTGACGGTGACTTACAAATTAAAAAATATATAAATCTATCTGGCTAACACATGCTATTTCGGGCTACGATTGACTTGTTTAGTTTTAATATATTTTTTTTAGTTTTCATAGACCAGAATTAATTAAGTCCTAGATGTGAAAGACAGATTATATATTAAACATACTTTTTTAAATCAACATTATTCTGCAATTTTCATAAGACATATTTGAAATACTTCGACAGTTATCAAGAGTCAAGAAATTGCGAATGTGCCAATGCGTAGCATTAGCATATTAATAGTATACTTATTTTGAAATATTACAGATATGTTTAAACACTAAATTGGTTAGTGTCCATTATATTTAATTGGTCTAGTGGCTGCTTTTTTCTTGGCTTATTCAATTTTATATAAATGCTTACCAATGGGAAAAGAAATAGTTTCAAACACTTTATCATGCAAATATAAAATCCAATCAAATCTCGAACAAGATGTTATGATAAAACTATTTACCAATGCCTTTTTATATTGAAATAGGACAGGTAAAATGTTTGTACAATGTTAGTTAGTGACATTTATCTAGATTTTTCTCGTTTCATTCATATTGATTTAAATTTCGGCTTCAAAAGTAAAATAATAACTCTGGTCCTCTCGTGTCAGAAATAAATATAGTGACGGTAAAAAGGTCAACAGTGTTTACCTGCGGATGACCCCGCTTCACCTGAACAGTGTATACACCTGTAAAAATAATATTAAATGAATGTATTTGTACGTTTTTATCCCTTATTCATAATGATATTGTGCATAAACTGGACGTTAATATATTCAACTTAATTCCTAATTAATACATGATCATTAATTAAAGCGGCATGCACTGAAAAAAAAACGATGAAGGGAATAAGCGTGTTTTAATCGGCAAGAGTTGTAAGAGTTTAAAAGGTAATATACCGTATGATATTTTTTTCCGAATTATTTCTATATAATATTTATGCCGAAACACACATCATAGTATATGCATTGTTGTAAAATTCAATATATTGGACATCATTAATTTAAGGCAAACGTGTACGTATTCTTTTTCTCTATTTATAGCATTGGAAATGAAAGATGGCTACTACAGGTATTGATAGATAATCTATGACAAATGTACCAGGTGTATTTATGGTTAAAGCAGCACGCCTCCAGATCATGAAATTTTTGGAAATTTATTTAAAATTAAAATATTATGAGGTACGGAAGCCCATAAGTGCCATTTTGTCTTAGGACTTTTGTCTTATGACTAATGACTTATGTATTATGACTTTTGTCTTATGTATTATGACTTGACAAAAAAGGCGGCAAAAAGGCAAGTTTCATCACATGCGCCCATTATGGCTGACGGAGGTAAATCTGATAGTGAAACAGAAGACAATTTGGTAAGTGTTGAAATTTAAACAGTTAGGCTCCCTTATACAAGCTTATTTCTCAATGTATTATTGTTTGTTTATAGCGAACACTATTTATGCTATTTATTTATAGCACATACTTGCTCCGATTCATGCATCAGCTAAAACTACAAAGATTTCATCAAGAGTACAAAATTTAGACAATTTAACAGGTAAATATTCCTGCTGTTAGTGCAAAGCACTCCTCACAGTGTTATCTCACCATATATGTTCATTAACCTGTGTAATCACTTGAATAATATATTTTGACTTTCTTTGTGTTGAAATAGTAAGGAAATAAATAAAAATATCCAAGATTAATTAATAAGTGATTTTACTGCTTTGAGGTTTGCAAACATCATGATTTACTATGGCCACCTGTTTTTTTATGTTAGCAGGGATAATGCCTGTCGTGAGAATCAAATTTCAAAGATAGATAAACTTCATTCATGAGTGTAAAAGCGGAATAAGGTTCATTTCCCTAAAAAAAGCATGGATTATGATACACTTGACGGCTGCTTAATAAAGGACTGGTACCACTTGGCAGATACAGCGTCATTAAAGCCAGTTAGCATATATAACACGTAATGTGTGGTAAGGTGATGTGTATTTTGAGAAACAGCAATAACATGAAAGAATATTTATAGGTCTATTCATATTTCACTTAATGAATTTTTTACAGCACATAAAATTTCAAAAATATCTATAAATTCATCATTTAAATTTCTAGAGTTTTATCTTTAATTCAGTTTGTATATTATGGTCTGTATAGAAACTATGCGAACAACAGGGAAAATATAAATCACTTTTATCCACATCTTTCAAGTTGCTGGCTAATTAACTGTAAGGTGAGATATAAAATGATGCAATGTTGACCCTGTATGAACTGATAAGTCACAACACTTGGAATAATCTATTCAGGTGTAACAAGTTTGTTCAGGAGACCACTAAATGATTCAAGGAATTATTAATGATAATTTATCAAGAATAAAATAACAATATCTATTTCAAAATCATATCGAAGTAACACTTTCTGTGTCATAGGCTAATAACAATTGATAACACAACTTATATGAAACATGTATAAATGTTATAATGGAGTACTTAAAAGAATGCTACACTTTAATTTAAAACTGCCTTTAATAAGTGTTTTTAAAGCAGTTACAATAACAAAATTAATTAAAAAAAACTGACCAGCAGGATTATTGTTCTCTAGAACTGAACTGGATAACACAAGCGAGGAATGTCAGTTTTGATTTTGAGAAACATTACATTTGAAGTAGATTTATGGAAAGATAAACATAAAGTACCTTTGTAAATATTTACAAAAAGGAAAGGTTTGGGAGAATAAGTTATTGGAAACCCTTGCATTTTCACGCCATCTGTGATATATCTCACTAAACACTCAGTGAATCGGCTATTATCACCTGGTATCTCACTTACGGAGAATTTGAATTTTGTAGCAAACAACAAAAGCATGATTTATGTGTGAAAATGTAATTATTAAGATATATAAAAATTATTCCAAATTTCAAAATATTGTTTTGTTAATAAAAGAAATTCAACTTCCAAGCTCTTCACTGGCATGTGTATCACTGAAAAGAAAAAAAATGGAAACAAAGTGATCCCCCTGGAGCATAATCACAACAAAATTATGCGAAAATTGCAGACTCAGTTTGATTGAGTCTGTACATGAGGGATAATGAATAAGTGCAACATCCCTCACGCCCCCTTGCACCGTCTTGAGCGGTACTCAATTATCCACACTTAATACTGCTGGCATCAATGATCACGAAGGGCCAGAAAAGTATACCAACACTGACGTACATGTACATTTTAGAACCATCTTGCTCTTTTATAGTTTTACTTTTCACCTCGATTCTAATTGCAAAGTTGTCTCAATATCAGGTTCTTTTTTTTAGAACACATCAGTCAAACAGTGGCTTAGTAAGGTTTTATGTATGTCCATCCACATTAATACACTAATGGTCACTCCTTTGCCTCTGTTGAACATGGTCAGGATGTTTGTCCCAAATATTTCTCGGACGAGTCCTAATATGGACCATTTCATTTCGTGAGAAAAAGTAGTTTACAGTGCCCTAAATCTTAACTTAATTTACGTTTTCACCGCAAATTTTATGAAGATTTGCCAGGAAAATTGTTTTGATTGGTTTTCTAGGTCTTATTCCATTATTGGTCATCTGATTTATGAATGAATATTATTTGTTAGATTAAGTAACAAGATTCTTGCAAGACAGACACATTTTGATACATTTGTGAAACTTGATTCTTACAATATTCTGTATGAAATATACATTATTTCTCCTACAGGAAAATGTGAGAAGAAAACGAATTAAGGAGCTAGTTAAAAATATAGCAGGGCAAAAAAAAAGAAGAAGAAACAGCTTATGATGGAAAATCCAAAAAAGGTAAAAATGAGACATTCAGTCTGTTACGTTACTCTGTTTACAATGGAAAATACAAGTATTTTTTCAAGAAACAGGTTTATGATTTATAAGTACAACTCCCTAGATACTGAATAATGATGTTTTACCAAATAAATTTTGCTTTGGTAGTTGCTGGGTCCTCCTAAAGAAGTGTGAAGAACATGTCCCATGCCTTAAACTTGCAACAAAAATAATCATTTTAGTTTAAAAACAAACAGTCTTTATATATATACATCTATATCTGAGTCATGATTTAATATATAATAATTAAGGATTTGAATAACTCTTTACCTTTTAAAGCAGCATACTTCAAACATTCATGAAAATTCTCATGAATAATATGAAAAGGAAAATATTGTTATGAACAAAGTTATAATCTACTTACAATCCACGTAAATTAGCAAAGGTGGTTAAATTGGCAAATATAGCCCTTTCGTTACGCGTTAGGAGAATTATGGTGATACATACTGCAAAACCAGTGATTTATCCCAACATGTAAATTATAACTTAATTCTTGAATCTCTTTACTTTTCTTAAAATCTTAGCATATTTATATTAAGTTTGAGATTTTTTTTTTTTAAATATTTTGACTCATCTGGAGGCATGCATCTTTAATGCTTAAAGTCATCTACTATGACACTTTGTGCATGTACAACTTTGTTCTTTTGTCAGATTACGTGCCATATAATCCTAATTAATATAAAAATCAAGTTAAGTGAAATGGTTGATTCAATTGCATTAATTCAGCATAACTTATTCAAATATAAATAAATAAGAAGTTTCACACTATTGTCTTTTTTTGCGTTCATTGAACGCTGCCTTAACTTGTTGATTTTGTTTATCATATTTTGTTGAAATTATATATACATGCAATGATATGTAATTAATATGAAAAATAAGACAGCTTGTAGTATGTAATCATTCAAAATATTACTTTTTTCCTCTCAAAATTGAATGTTTTATGTAATGAAACTTTACTATAAATGTATATTAATATGTGAAAATACAAAGAGTACAAAAAATGATAATTATTAATCTGATATTGAGGAATCTATGGTGAAAACAAGGATTTTTTTTATAATTTAAAATATGACATTTTGAAGCCAATTCTTTGGTTTTTTTATAAACATGATCAATAGGTGGAAATGTAAAATCACTTAAAGAATGATCTGATACATGCAATGGTTCTACCAACTCGATAAAGATTTCTTGAAAATGACAAATAACAAATGTTTGACTTTTCATTCTTCTAAAGCATTTGTGCAATGTTTGACTACATAATATAAAAATAAACACTTTAAATAACCTACATGCAAAATCTTCTTTTATTCTATTAACAAAATAATTCGAAGCACTAAGATTCAGTTGTAGAAAACAGTTTGAACATTTATGATTATTTTGGCACAGAACCGACATGCAAATAACAGTCAAATTTAGTATTCGCAAGTAAAATTATCACCAAGGAGATAGGGTAATAGATGAGCAACCTGCGAGACTTCTTACTTCTTACATGTCTGTATAAATTAAATAATGCATACTTCTTAACCCGTAATACACAATACATAAGCCGTATTACATATGCCATGATACAAAATACAAAAGTCAAAATACATAAGACATAATACAAAAGTCAAAATACATAAGACATAATACAAAAGTCAAAATACATAAGACATAATACAAAAGTTAAAATACATAAGACATAATACAAAAGTCAAAATACATAAGACATAATACAAAAGTCAAAATACATAAGACATAATTCAAAAGTCAAAATACGTTCTGGTCTTTGTGATACATTGACAGAATGTTTATCTCTATAAATGTTTTATTTGAAAGCTGGTCGAGTGCAATCAAAAAGTCAAATCAAATTAAGAGCATGCAGGTGTCTGTGTCTGTCCATCCGTCTGTTTGATGTCTGTGTCTCCTGCTACACAATAACTGTAACATGCTACAAAGTAGCTGAAAAATTAACAGAACAATACAATTGCTTAATTTGCAATAATCAGGTAACACAGTCATCATGATCACAGGTTGCTCGCGACTGTATTTTAACACAGGGTATCATTTCTTTTGTGATTTTCATGAAACATGTTCAAAGTGTTCATAAGGTATTCTCAATATTGGACATTAAATGAGTGGTAAATACTAGATCACTTGGTTAAGATTTTAGTCTGGTAACTGTTTTGATTTTGTCAAAACCTAGATTAATTTAACGACTCAATGAATACGACCATTACGTAAAATAATGTACTTTTTTGAAAGAAATAAACAGCAAGTTTTCATGTGAGTGACACATATTTTTGGGCGCTTTATTAAATGACGTATACATTTAAGTTTTCTATGAGATTCAGTTATGATGGTTGAAAGATTCATAAAATTTCTATATAAAACTATATCCCTTGGTGTATTTTCAATAAATTATCCTAGATAGCTTATTATTTCTTCTTTCAGAAACAGCGAGGTACTGGTAGACATGCCATATATAAGTTGCACCTTGGATGGCTTCATGAAACTCGTGGGAAGTTAAGACAAGTTACCGCACGGAGAGGAGGCGGTACAAGAATATACGAATTTAAAAAAGAAGAAGAGCAAACTGTTCAGACAGTTATAAATTATGCAACTAGCAATTTTCTTTCCAGCATGGAAAAAATGATATGGGAAAGATATCAGATATGGTAAGTGAACCTGTCTACATATAACGGAGAAGTAATTCTCAAAATTTGTCATTGCCAAATGGGGAAGAATGTAATTTGTAAACATACTTGAAGTCTATCGCGTGTTTTCCTCTCAGTACTTTTTATATTTGAGAACATCTAAAAAAATACAGGAGATTGACGGTAGAGAGCCAGTTAGAACAGCATGTAGATGATAAAGCATTCCGGTTCCTTTAATATCATTGATAGTAAATGACCAAAACACTGGTGAAATATGTGTAAAGTACACTAAACTTTGCAACTCATCGTACAAGCAGCAGAATGTTCACAAAAATCTGTCAAACCATTGATGACTGCTTTCTTGACACAAATTGTAAGTGATTTTTCCTGACAGAGAAAGAGATGGTATAATCCACTGGAAAATAGTTTCAAAGTGACAGGCATAACAGTCAACAAGATCTCTATTTTGAGCCAAGCAGATCCGAGTTCTAACCACTTTGAATATCCGACCTTTGCTTAATCCCCGTAACTGATCCTGGTGAATACTTGGTGAAGGGTATCAAATGAAGATACACTTTATGAAATGTGCAAGCTGTAAGGGTGGACTCTCAAGCTTTGCTGGCAGAAAAATAAAACTTTCAACAAACACTTGTCATGCAACTCAGGAGATTTTAACTGACCGAGTAAGACTTCAGTCCCTGGATGACAGTACAGTTGATACTGCTTATGTAACTGAACCATCAATGGAGGACAGTACAGTTGATACTGTTACTGTTACTGAACATCAGTAGAGGAGAGAACAGTTGATACTGTTACTGAACCATCAATGGAGGACAAAAACACTTGACACTGTTACTGAACCATCAATGGAGGACAGTACAGTTGACACTGTTACTGAACCATCATGGGGGACAGTACAGTTGACAGTGTTACTGAACCATCAATGGAGGACAAAACAGTTGATATTGTTACTGTTACTGAACGATCAACTCCTAGTTATGATTCCATTACAGACAATGAAGTAATAAAAAGTCATGTCATGAATGAGAATGTGAGTGAACAGACAAACTGTGACTATTTCAAAGAACGTTCAAGTACAGCCAAGTATAATCCTATACACGCGCTTAATTTCTCAACAGATGTAAATGTGCCAGAAATTCCTTATGATAGTTTATGTATGGGACCTAAAATTGGGGAAGGCTCTTTTGGAACAGTACATTTGGCACATTATCTTTTTACTCCAGTTGCAATAAAAACTGTAAAAACTAAGGCGAATTAAACTAGTCCAGAAAGCTCTTGAACGAGAAGTTAAAGTTCTCAGCAGAGTAAGGCATCCACACATTATACTGTTTATGGGGTATTCGGTATATAATAATGCATTACACATTGTGTCTGAGTACATAAAAGGATCAAATTTTAGATGAGATGACCTACTGTTTGGTGATCGATGTCAACAAATCCCCCTTCTAAAAAAGTGTCACATTGCTGAAAAGATATCCCAGGCTGTTGCTTACTTGCACAACAGTTCTCCTATTATATTACATCGAGATTTAAAGCTAGAGAACATCATTGTATCAGAATCTTTAGAAGTAGTGAAATTATGTGACTTGGGGATTTCAAAATTGTTAACAATAAATAGTTCTGCTACCACCTATGCACCAGGTATGCAACCAGGTACCCTTATCTTTCAAGCACCAGAAATTTTGCTTGGTAATAGACCTGCGTCAACAAAATCTGATGTTTGGGGAATGGCAGGCACTCTTGCAGAATTATTCAGTGAATGTCCAATGTGGGGATTACAAGAGGAAGATAGAGGAAGAAAATGAAAGATCAGCTGTTGAAACAGTTAAAGAATTTATGAGTCAAAAGGAAGTCCCACATGCCATTACAAAACTTGTACAAATGGACTGTATTTGTAGCAGAATAGTAGACATTGTAACCAAGGTGCTGAACTATGATCCCGATAGCAGACCAGTAGCGACTGAATTCCCAACAAAGTTTAGTAAATAAACTAAGATATGAACGGGTGTAGCAAATAAGTAAAAGTGATATAATGGAACTGAAATATTATTGTTTGATATATATTGAGAGTGACGTCAAAAGTGGTTAATATTATTATATTACATTAAATAAAACTTTTTATACCCCGAAACGAAGAAAGGGGGATATATAGCAGTCAACCGATGGTCGGTCAGTCGGTTGATTTGTTGGTTGGTTGGTCGGTCGGTCGGTCAAGCGGTCCGTTTTGCATTTTCCTTGTCCGGAGCATAACCTGAAGACTCATGGTTGGAATTCCTTATAACCTCATAACAATGGTCAAGCGAATTGAGAGGAAGTGCAGTACTCAAGAACCATAACTCCATCTTGACTAATTACATAGTTATTGCCCTTTGTTTCTTTTCCTTGTCTGGAGCATAACTTGAAAAACTACTGGTTGTAATTCAATACAATTTCATACAATCGTCAAGCACAATAAGAGGAAGTGCAGTACACAAGAATCATAACTCCATTTTGACAAATTACAGAGCTTTTTTGCCCTTTAATATCTTTCCTTGTCCGGAGCATAACTTTAAAAGCACGGGTTCGAATTCAAAACAACTTCATACAATGCCCTTTGTTACTTTTTCTCCAGTGCATAACTTGAAAACTATGGTTTTGGAATTCAATACAACTCGATACAATGGTCAAGCACAATGAAAGGAAGTGCAGTATACAATAACCATAACTCCATCTTCAGTATTTGTAGAGTTATTGCCCTTTATTCATTTTTCCTTGTCCGATGCATAACTTAAAATTAATGTTTAGAATTTAATGCAACTTCATACAATGGTCAAGCGCAATGACATGAAGTGCAGTGCTCAAGAAGCGTAACTATTCCTGAACTTATTACAGGGTAATTCAATAACACTTCATCAATGTTAAACCACATTGACTGGAACTGAAACATACAAGAACCACAACTATCTTTAATTGCCCACAACCATAAACTCAATTTCAATTCTTTTAAAAGGTATTCTATTACTAATAACTCCATCATTTCCGAAGCAGTCTTGCGGGGGTATTAATCACATTTAGTAATAGTTCTTGTTTTGTATTAGGCTGTGTTTTCAAAACTATAATTATTTCTGTTTCTTTGATATAAGTATTTTTCAATTTGTTTAAATCTAAGTAAAACTTATGACTGATTTCAAAATATTTAAGTTTGTATGCCGAAAAGAAGTTGATTTTAAGTTAACACTTGTTTTATTTTTTACTTAAATTGACTTAAATAATTGTCAATATATTTCGTTAAAAACCACTTAATTTTTGTTTATCAGATATATATTTCATATAAGCGAGCTCTTTAATTCCTTAAAACAATATTTTTTAAAATGTGTCAGTCTTTAAACCTAAGCAAGAAAATAAAACAAATGGACATAGTTTAAGGATAAAATGATTTGTGTTAGTAACAAATATTCATGTTTTTGATATCCACCAGTGAAGTTTCAAGGGTTGTTTGAATAAGTTCTATGGAAAAACCTATAAAAGGGAAACAGAATATAGATATGCAGTTTATGTAATTTTAATTTTACATAACTACTTCTTATGTTGTGTATGAATTTTTAAATCATATAATAGACAATTATATACATTATATAATATAACAATATAACAATATTATAAGACATATATCCTGTAAAATCTGCATGTTTGGAAGTTACATTGTGGGCATCTCAGAACAACATTTGGGAACAAGCATGTAACTAGTTTTAGCCCCCTTGTATCAGATAGCTATCAGATCAAATAGTCTTGTGTTTCATTCTTCTTTGTATTACTTTAATGTCCTTGAATTGACCTCAAATAAGTAAAAGATTCTGGTTCAAAGGCACAATAACTCAAAAATGAGATCGCAAATTTACCAATCCACTACGCAAAAGCAATTCAAAGTTTAACATCTGATACTATCTGATAGCATTTGGTTTTGTTTCTTTTTCAAAACAAATTGAATTAATTGCATGACTTAAGTTTTGTAAGATATAATAAATTGCTCTACATATATGAATTTTTACATACTCCTTTATTTAACTCCATATAAAACCCGTTTTGCAGTGGAACAAGCTTACACAACATTACGTTTCGTACTACAAATCCATTTCTTTTAAACAAGAGGAAAGGGGAGTGGTGGCCTCTTGGTTAATGTGTCTGCCCTCAACCTAAGGACTATGGGTTCGAGTCCTACTCGAGCCATCTCCATGTTTCTTCATATATGACACCAGTACTGGTTGGTTCAAGGGTTTTGATTACAAAAAAACCTTGGCAAGAACTTGTTCCGCAAAACGATCTAAAATGAATTATATTTAATATCTGATACTTGAAGAGAATTTATTAAGAGAGCACATATGAGAGAAATTATTCAATGGCTGCATCAATAAGTTCCAGTAGTTCCCTGTATAGTTCTAGAGCATCTTGTACATCCATGGGAATGCGGATGTCAGGCTTTAGTATTTTTACCAAATCTTGAAAATTCTTTAATGCTTGTTGTCCTACGTAAGCCCGTACATTTCGCAACAAGCATCAACATCAATTTTGATCTACAATCTTTCCATAATTGTGTCCGCCAAACAATTCCGGAACGAAGTACATTAAATCGGGTTTTCCATTGGTACATCAGAATTTCTCTGTTTACGTATGGAATGTAAGTTCCAAATTAACCGCTATTCTGTCAAGCTCGGCCTGAATCAAGTGCATAAAAAGAGAATTTCAAGCATTCAAACATGTAAAGGATTTAATTCATCATAATACTCTTGACTGTCCTATAAATCTTTGAAAAAGGAAATCCACCATTGAATTCCTTGGCGTCTCATAGTTCCCCACCAGGCCTCTATTCGTTGATTTGAAACGCTTTTTCCGTATATAAACTTCTAAGTCCCGATATACTATCTGTATCATTGTACCGGAGAACGGTTGGAGCAAAGACAGAGTTGA